AATTGGCTAGTAAGAAAAAAATATTTTAATCACATTTAATCCAACAGTATTTTAGAAATTATTTTTAACAGACAGTATTTTGGAAATTATTAATTTAATCAGCATTATTTTGAGAAAAAACTCGAACTTCTGAACTCGCTTAAATAAATAAATAAATAAATAAATAAATTTCTCTTATTATCCGGTCTCAAGTATCTAAGCCTGTATATAAACACGTACCTGTATCTTACGAGATAGATTGTACGATCATAAATCATGTTCCGAACAACCGCGAAGCGGTTATTTCCGGCGTTGCGCCGCTGCAACAATCAGCTCATATTCTCTCCCGTTCCTAATGTTGCACGGGTCCAAACGCCGCGTTTTTCCAGCTCCGTTGCATCTGAGACAATTCCGAGTCGAAACTCTGCCTTTCCAGACCCCGCATCATCCACTGCTGCATCATCAGGGGAGAGCCAAGAAGAGAAATATCGCCGCTTCGAGGAAGAGAAGACGGATCCGGGAACGCCTAAAACGAGGCATAGGGCTCAATACCAGGACGAGCAGTTCCGTGTTCTAAGCGCCTCCCTCCCTCATGTGGTACGCATATATCTTCCCCTCTGTGCCCTGTTTCTTCAGTATTGCATCAAGTTCTCACCGTAGATCTTAGTTATAGGGGAAATGATGAAATGATAATACAATGCTGGACGGATAACCTACACTTTTAATCCAGAAAAATTCAGTGAAAAAGATGAAATTACATGGTTTGATTTGATTGTTTCATTTCCAGATTAAATTGGGATGGACTGAAGCAGCCATGATTGCAGGTGCAAGGGAGGCTGGGTTGTCTCCTTCAATCCTGGGATCTTTTCATAGGAAAGAAGCTGCTCTCGTGGAGGTTATTTACTATCTTTATTATCAACTTTTCAGTAATCAAATGCTTCTAGTTTTGTTTGTCTTGATAATGGTGCTAATTTTTAGTAATTGTAGCCAGTTTTGAATGTTACAAACTTACAACTCATTTAATGATTTTTCCTCTTCAGTTTTTTATGGACGAGTGTTTGGAAAGGCTAATTGAAGTTATTGAATCAAGAACGGATTTGAAAACCATGATACCTAGTGAGCGTGTGGCAACTATTGTAAGACTTCGGTTAGAATTGCAGTCCCCTTACATTTCAAAATGGGCTCAAGCACTCAGTATACAGGTAGTTTTCTATATTTATTTTTGTATTATTAAGCTGCAGTAGGACAGCAGAAAACCTAATAAAGACATTTAAAATAGCAGTTTATGATTTTAATATTTAAATAGGCACATCCAATGAACGTTCTGACAAGCTTCAAGCAAAGAGCAATGTTGGTTGATGAGATCTGGCATGCTGCTGGTGATGATGGAAGTGATATTGATTGGTATGTGAAGCGAACTGGGCTTGGTGGAATATACTCTACTACTGAGCTATACATGCTGACTGATTACTCTCCAGGTTTGTTTATAATACTCCGTAGCAATGTTATTAAAAAATTACCTAAAAAAATGTGGTTGACAATCACCTAGCCCCGACTAATCATTGCCTATTCACTAAGTTGTCCTATACAGCAGTATAGGTCAATTTGGATCACTGAAAATACCAAGGAATGTAAATGTGGTTGACAAACAATCTTTTGGGACTAAGGCTTTGTCGTTGTTGTATGTTCCAAGGCAGACAATCTTAACATGAATAAATTACTTTATTCATATTTTCTTTTACTTTGCATTTTCCAAGGTAAACCAAACATAAGAAAGTATGGAGTAACTTACTTGGGTGATTTTTCCTTTCCCATAGCACTTCACAGTATCCAAATATACTCTCATCATCATCATTACCCCAGTGCCGCAAAGGCTCCCACCTACGGTGGGGTAAGGGGGGTCGGATGTACGCAGTCTTACCCCTCTACTAAAGCACAGAGAGACTGTTTCCGAATGACTCATAGTGAAAATTGCGTCAAAAATTGCGTAGGCTGACTGTTACTTCATAACAAAGAAGCACAAACAGTTTAGTGAGCCATTTTGCTTTATTCCATCATATTCCCAAGCCAAAAAATAGTGAGTCTTTGGCTCCATTGAAAATGATGGAAATTATCCAAATATACTCTATAAGTTTTTTTTTATTAATGCCAGCCTGTTTACTAAGGCAGTTTGAAGCTGCCTAACTCTCATTAAAACATTGTTTTATAGTGCTACACTTGCATGCTGATCATTAAAACATTGTTTTTATAACATTGTAATCCCTGCAGGTTTACTAGGTCCTAGGCTGCCTAACTCTTATTAAAACATTAGCCATTTGCTTTAAGTGCTAAGGTGGCATGTTTTTTGTGTAATCTTTTCTGTGTATTCCAACCTTCCCTGAGATGAGTGACATTGGAGGTATGAGCAGCACTTCAAGTGTGGTGGATCCAAATTCTGAAATGTTCAATATGTAAAAGATTTTAAACATATAGGCTGGTCTGCAACATGGAAAATGCTAGGGTAATTATATCAAAAGAAAGTACAGATGTACGCATAGAAGAAATTTGAGAGGACACAAAGCTGGGGGGAAGTTATAAAGACTTAGTTCATGTAAACTCAGTAAATCAATGTTAGATATTCCATATAAGTCTTCCCAATTACATTTCTATTATAAAGACCAAGTCTAAATAATGTAAAATTTTAAAAAACTTGTAATTAAATATGCAAACATCTATCTATCTTACATTTTCCCCCATCCCTACCATTTTGTGGGATCCAAAGTCCAAACATGCCCTTAGTCTCAACCATAAAGGAAAGTAAGACAACCATAAACAACAACATTCAAGCCTTAGTCTCAAAAGATTTTGGGGTCGGCTAACATGAATCGACACACAATATCGTCATCAAAAGGAAAAGAAAAATAAACTAGATAAAAAGATAAGCTATGATAAAAAAGATAATATAAAAAGAGATGGATATACATAAATATGATAGAATAAAAAGGATAAAAAGAATATATATATATATATATATATATATATACACACACACACATAAAGATAACAAGAATAAAAAAACAAGAAAGAAAATGAAGATGAGGGGGAAAAGATGATAAGAGATCACTCCTCAACAGTCAACACGGATACCCGTCCTCCACTTTGCTTTCTTCAAGTCATACTCTCATCAAACTCAAGAAGTATATCACTTCTGACTCCTCTAATTCACGTCGGTTGGGTCTTCCTCTCCCTCTCTTCCTTGCCTCTTCTCCACACATCTCAACTCGATTGACAGGTGCATCACTTGGTCTTCTCCGCATGTGACCAAACCACCGCAAGCGAGACCCGCATCTTATCTTCAATAGGTGCTATCCCACCTTTTGTTTGATTATCTCATTCTTTACGCTGTCCTTTCTAGTATGTCCACACATCCAACGCAACATGCACATATCTGTCGCACTATAATTGCTGTCCTATAAAAATTCATGTCTGTTTGTCCCACTATAATTGTCTCATTTTTTCATTTTCGTTTGTCCTGGTAAATTTGTTTCATATCATATTTGATAATATTTGTGTGGTTCTAATTCGTTCTTACTTTATTCCCACTTTATCAATTCATTGTCAACCACATAACTCTACTTTCTTAAAAATAGCACTACTCTCTTTTGTCCCAATCTTAGGGGGGCGGAGGTAGTATTAATACAGATGATATAGGATTTAAAATGGTGTATTCTTGTCGGGTTAGCTCACCTGGTGAGAAGAGGGTGACACAAAGAAGCGACCCCCTATTCAATTCCAAGCAAAGACTTGGGTTGGCTCAGAGAGGGTGTCATCCTTTTTCAATTCCAAGCAAAGACTTGGGTTGGCTTAGAGAGGGTGTCATCCTTTTTACACATCCTTTTTACAAATGATGTGTTCTTTTTTAATGTACTCCGTGTTGCAAAAAAATGATCTTTTTTATTCTCACAGTTTAGCTTTTAGGAACCAAAGAAAATCAAATCCAAGAACCATGCTTAACTACTCATAGGTCCAGATCGCATCCAAAGTTGTAAGTCGGAAGACACTTCACAATTAACAATGACTTATCATGTTTCTGGGGTCTAGGGAGATTTTCTTAGAACACCGCTTGCATTAGGTTTGGATTTAGACTTAAACCTCTATAGTTGTTTATAAACTCTTGCTCTCCTTGTTACAGATTTCCATGATACATGGGCATTCTTGAAAGCTCGGATTAAAGATGCATTTGATCTAAGAAAGAGTGCCCAGGAGGTATCTTTTTTTTTTTGTTTTTGATTTGGAGATTAATTTGATCCAATTTCTTTTCATCGCATAAGAAATTCAATTTTAACAAATGTTTTCATTTCTCTCAACTTGTGCAGGCAAAATATTTGGCCGAAGCCGTAGGTGCAGGAATGGGGGGCTCCTTACAGGGACTAGTTAGAGGTGTTTTCACCAGTTGAATTGGCTTTTGAAATAAATTTTGTTTATGTTTTTGGGATATGTATATTCTCCTTTGTGACTCTGTCAATAACTATATTAGGGAATAATAAACTAATAGTAACCCAAGAAAGATGCTGTGTCTGACTGTCTGTAAAACATTGGTCCTAGACTCCTAGTCGGAGACTATTTGTTACCAACGTGTCTCTGCTTTGGAGTAGGTTTTGCTTTTTGATTATTTATGAGATTTGAATTAATTAGATAATTCATAACACACAAAAAATTGGATTATCCAGAGATGTCAGGTTGAAAGTAATGTAGAGGGTGTGGCAAATTATGTAATACTTCGTATGTGGCAATAATTTAAAGGTAAATACTGTAAAAAATCATATTTCAATTAGTTCGGTTTATTCGGTTCGGTTTTGAAGGGACAAAATCAAAATTGTCAGTCCAGTTTTTTACTTTCGGGGTTTTTGCAGTTCGGTTGTGCTTCAATCGGGGTCTTTGCACTTCGGTTGTGCTTCAATAAGTTTTGATTCAATTTTTGGTTTTCGATTTTTCGGGTCCAACCCTAATTAATTTTGTGTGTGGTTGAGTCTTATTTTGGAGGGACAAAGTTGTACTCTATTAAGTAATTGTCACTTTATTGTGTGGTGTTATTTCCAAAAAGCAACAATATTGAAAGGATCAAAAGAGAAATTGGAACATCAAAATTAGAGCAATATGCTACTAGTAGTATACAATAATGAGATCAGCCATGGCAAAAAGTCATGTCAAAGTAGTATCAGAGTTCGATCAGAAAAATGTTGTATCATGTCGTCGGTTATGCTTGCAAGAATTGCAAGTTGCAACTAATCCATCATCATGTCCTCACCAGCCACCTGTAATCATCTGTGTATTCCACTCCAACACATAACTACTAACCAAATTTCACATAACAAAAGAATATATATTTAATTTATATGTAAAATTCCATTAATCTAAAAAAGATCAATGGAATGAAATCTAAAAGCGTTTAGTTTATATATATACGTGAAAAGGATCGATGTGAACTATTAGAAAACGAGGTCCAGATAATTTGCAAATCAATGTGAAAAATATAAACAAAATAACGTATATTTAAGATTTGTTTTGGTAATTTGAAAAATAAGAGTATTGTTTTGAAGGTAATTAAGGGTGACGTATAAGTATTGAATAAAATTTTGAAATATCATAGTTAAAACTAATTCCAAACATGTGAGGTAAAATACTATTGTGAAATTAGTGTCTCGTTCTTTTAAAGGTTTAAATACTGTTTTAAGTCCTTGCAAATATATTACATTTTATTTTGCATCCCTGCAATTTTTTTTTTTGTCCATGTAATTCATGTTGGTTTTCTTTTTAGTCCATCAATGATAATAACAACCTCTGTTTGACCTCAAAGTAACTTCGATTAATAAATTTCCCCTAATTTTTTGTCATGTTATTAAAAACGTATTTAACTTTATTTGTAGAAGGTGTTTAATATATATTTTTAAAAAGTGAATACTTAATTTTTAAAATGTTTTAACTCTCATATTAGCCTAAAACAAATTATAAAATGACAAATTTAAATATTTACAGTAGATTTATGTATCCGACCGTAACTTTTTCTGTAAGTAGAGTAGTTTCAGAATTAGAGATGGACTAAAAACAAAATAGTACATATTGTAGGAATGAAAAACAAGAAATATATTTTGCAGGAACTTAAAACAAAGTGTGTCATATTTGCAGGGACTAAAAACGTATATAAACCTCTTTTAAATAATTAATAACGTGTAATATATTTTCAAAAATGAATGACTCTATGAGTTTTAATTCAAGTTTAATAGTATATCAATAGTCAAAACTCAAAACTAGAAAGTACAGTCTTGTTAGTACAACGTAACTATGAACACGTTGAATGAGCTTCTTTACCTTGGGATCTCCCGACGTTGCCCAATTATGGAAGAGGAGAATCTCACAACTCCAGAACAATGACTGCAACAATATGAATTTGGGTTGTTATTTGGTGTTAATTGTTTTATAGAAACACAAAAAAACTCGTTATTTTGTAAATATCCTTATTATTAGCACAATAAAGTTTATAACGGAGTACCATTTATATTCAATAATATGCAACTTATAAATTATACAGAAATGAATGATTAAAAAACAGTAAATTTAATGAAATGTTATCAAAAGAATAATGCAAAATTAAAGTTCAATTTCATCGGTTAGTTTTAATAATTGTTTCTAGAATTTTAATTTTCTTAAATTAAAATTTCAGGTTTGCTTGTGTTCTATTTGATCCACATGATCTGATTAAGTAATGATTTAATACAACAACATTCAAGCCATCCCAAAAGAATTTGTTGTTGACTAACATGAACCCATGATATCACTGCAGCGATATTCTATTTCAATTCATGTCATTTAATGTGACTAAGTGATACCACCAGCCGTTATGCCCCTACAACAACACCATCTCCTTTAATATAAATGCATTTTACTAGGAGTACTACCTATTTTCTACGTAGTACTCCATCCGTCCCATATTTAACTCCGGTTTTGACCGGGCACGAGTTTTAAGATAGTGGGATTTGTGTGGTGGAGAGTTATGCAGAGGAGAGAGAAATGTGTAAGAATGGTTGTGAACCACATATTCTTTACCAAAAAGGGAAAAATGAGATAAATTTAGGATGGACCGAAAAGAAAAGAATGAAATAATTCCGGGACGGAGGGAGTAATTCTTATTTAACCATTTTATTCTAATAATTAGAAAACTTACAATCAGAATCCGTTTTAACCCATTTGCTGTTCGCTTCACCGCTTCCTTTCCCCACTCCTTCATCCACATCATCTTCTTCACTATCTTCATTACTGTCAGATTTCTCACATGAATATAAGGTGTTATCCTCCAGCTTGTACTTCTTTTGGGATGACCTCGGCATTGTAGCCCCCTGTGGGTATATTTTCTTCTGCAATATTGACCTCAGAATCTACACACCAGAATTAATTATTAAAAGTGTTAGTCGATCAAATCACAGTTTTTGTATTTTTATACTTGGCTGGTGTGCCACTACCGGTGTGGGAATATGGAACGAACCTTGTCCATTCTCGACTTCTCCGATTTTGCATCTTCGGGGAGAAGAGGAGGACGGGGAATATGAGGAGCCACGAATCCGCCGCGGCAGAGAATGGACTTCTTGAAGAAAAGAGAGAGTGACTTTCTGCTCATAGCAGTAGTGTAACTGTTCTCTGCCAGGAGAGCTTTCCCAAACAACCTGCGGAAGGCAGAACAATCCTGGCCGTCGGATGAAATGATGTCACGTATTATTCCATCCCCTTCCACCTCATCATCCAGACAATCAAAAAACTGTTCCAGCTCATCGCCGCCGCCGTTATTATTACTTTCCCTAACGGGATGTTTATGCATTAGTAGTTTGAGCTCTTTATGAAGCTCTCCGACTTCTTCAACCGTAAGCGGCGGTTCTTGTTGCCGTTCTTTATCACCACCGCCGCCGGGAGGAGAAGCTTCTGTATCTTTGCTGAGATGAGTATTATGATTCTGCTTATTGCTCCCGAATGTGCCAATGGTTAGTAATATTCCATTAGGCCAGTCACTGAATTCTTCTTTTGGCCCTTTATCTAGGGAAAATCACGAAAGAAATATAAAAAATCTTGATAATTTGACAAAAAAATATGGAATTCTTCAAACACAACTATTTGAATTGAATGGGTTTTATTCATAGCACAAAATAAAAATACTTTTATTCGTGCACATAATCTATAATTTTAGAGTTATTTCTTTAAATATTATTGAAATACTTAGAATTAATTTATTGACTCGAATGTGACTAAAGTTATCATGAATCAAGTCATAGTCACATATAAGGTTCACTAAAACCACTGTTATAATTTCGTTGAAGAATATAGGGTAGACACTTAAATTCATTATTAGTTGCATGACATTAATTAACTACTACGTATTACTCTAATCTCTCCGGCCCGAAAATGTTCTCACTTTTCTTGATCAATGGTAATACATTTTGATCAATGATATTTTTTAAAACAAAATTATTTAGAATATGAAAATTATATTAAAATGTTCCTTGTTCAAAATATTTCCAGAAGTATAAAATTTAGAAATTATATATAACTATAATAATTAAATCATTGTCCAAAGTTTGACATCATTAATAAAAAAAGTCAATATGACGAACCTAATTATAAAAAAGTCATATAATTATATGACCAATATGACTACTAGTAAGACTTAGTTACATGATGGTAGCTCGTTGGGATAAATATGTGTTCTTTTTTAGTCTTCATCACATTTAAGTTAATTACTTGCTGATGATGTATTTGACACAAACATTTTGAACACTTAAAAGGAAATGTAGAACTAACAAAATGGGACAATATAATGGGTACTTTATTGAGAGGTGATATTCTACTAAGAAAGATTAATCTAGAATTAATAATACGCTCCATGTTTCTTAAGGATCGGTCATCTTTGACTTTTCTGATCTATAATGTTGAACTTTGATGATTATATGCAGAGTTATTTATAGTATGAAAGTGATACAAAAATAGTCATTGTTAAATTACTCTCACAAAAAAAGAAAAATTTATAAAATTCACATAAATAATGTAGTGATTAAAAAGATTCAAAAAAAAGTTGATCGATCCAGTGATGAAGTAATTATCTTACATGCCGTTGTGTTAGGATATGGTTTGCTGGTACTGGTGGTGATGATGGGTTGCTTCCCATGGATCTTTCCATGTATCCAATTAAAGATCTGCAGGTTGATGAACATATATGGTAAACATCACATTTACTCTTAAGAAAGAATGGTTTCAAATTGAAAAACCAAAGAGACATAAATGAGTTTATAAGATTTGAGAAAAATTGGCATCATCATTTATCAGATGAAGATGCATTACCTTCATAGCTGGTAGTAGTGGAGATGATGATGGGCAGGGTAGATGGAAAATGTGTTTAATTAATTAAACCCACAAAACTGTTGAAATATGTGAGTTTGTAAGGAGAGAAGATGTGGGATATGTCTGTGTATATATAGCAAATAAAATGTGGGAATTTATTCCTCCGTCCCAAATTGAATTGCAATTTGAAGATTTTAGGGTTGGCTAATATATGGTACAGTTAAATTATCCATTTGGCCGGATAGTTAAATCAATATTAATATTTAAATTTTCATATTTAGAAACTACGGAGTATATTGAATGTTTTATAAAGTTGCAAAATCCAAATTAGAATATAATAGATTTCGGCTTATCAAACTTATCAACCAACATTTAATCAAACACGTAATTTTTCATTTTACGCGTTTAATTGTGTAATAATAAAAAAGGTAAGGTTGAAGTTACTTTTCTCGTTGTATAATGATGGTCATTTTAGCTACACTAAATCACTTTGTCACTTTCCTATTAAAACAACTAATTTGTGGTTCTGTAAATTTCTCTCTCCTCTGCACAAATCTCAACCACACAGTTTTTAATTTTCTCATTGATCACCTACTTTGCACTTGGCAAAGTCCACCGGACAGAGGGATCGGAATAGTATTTTAAGTATAATTTTTAATAAATCAGCAAAATCATTCTATGCCAAATGTCAATACAACCACCTCAATGGGAATTTTATAAATTTCAAATTATAAATGGGTGATTTTTATTCGACTAATATAATTAAGGTGGTGGCTGGTACGACTTCCAAAATGTGTGTGTATGTATGTGTGTGTGTCTATATATATATATATATATATATAATGGGAGTGGTTTCAGTGAGAAGGACTCTTAGGAGAGAAATGAGAATGAATCTGGACCATCAGATTGTATTATGTAAAATTGAATTGTGCATATGGTAAAACTGAAATGTGCATTAAGTGAAATTGAAATGTGAAGAATGAAAAGTTAAACTCAAATGTGCATTATGTGAAATTGAAATGTGCAGAATAAAAGGCACAAAAATGTCACCGCATTGTAGTTTTTATTATGCACATTTCAGTTTCACCTAGTGCACATTTCGGTTTGCTTTAATGTACAATTCTGATTCACATAATATCAATGTGCTTTACTTTTTGTGCTGCACATTTTGATTTCATCTAATGCACATTTCGGTTCCTGCACATTCAATTTCACAAAATATAATCTAACGGTCTAGATTCATTCTCATTCCTCTCTTAAGATCATTTTCTGACTTTAACTTAATTCTATATATATATATCCTCACCTTGCTCGCCGATTTTCTCTTGTCTTTTCATGTGTGTCATCTTCCCTTTAATTTTTAATTTCAAGAAATATATAAAAGGAATCCATTATGAGTGGTATAATATGGTGTGTACGTATATAGCAAGCAGCATATGCTGTTTGGATCTCATTTTCACATGTTTTTCCATATGAGCGCTCATTCTTATGCACGCAGTACAGTACATATAATAGCCGTCGGATTAATATAACGTAGACTCCATATGCTTTTGTCATGCAACTACGGCTTTAATTAATGAACCCTCATGCTTGTTTTGGATAAAGAGAAGTCACACAGAATGGGAGACATTTGGCAATTGGCATGGATGATTAATTAAACAAAGTTGGAATTTTTTACGTAGCAATTTGAAATAAAGAACTATAAATAATGACCCTAAATACGAGTAAGAAGATACTTCAAACTACTCTAAATAGGACTAAAACTCAAAATAGGACATGCTATATACTCCCTCCGTCCCCTTTTAAATGTCCCATTTTACCATATTGGGATGTTCCTATTTAATTGTCACATACCTTATTTGGTAAAGTTTGTGTGGCTCAAAATCATTCTTACTTTATTCTTACTTTATCTATTAATATCAACCACACAAACCTACTTTTCTTAAAACTCGTGCCACCCTCTTCCGGGACATTTAAAAGGGGACGGAGGGAGTATGTTTTTTTTACTCAAAATAGGACATGCTATATATTAGTCCTATCGGAAACATACCTATTTTTTCATTCCATTCTTACCCTTTTTTTTAAATACTGTATGAGTTAAAAATAGTCAAAAGCCATAATTAAATGTTTAATTCATAATAAATTCGATAAAACTTCAAAAATTCGTAGGAAAATAATTACAAAATTATAAAATATTTATAAAATAAAACATTCAAAAAAAATATTTTTTTTTAAATTAATAAAAAATAGAAAAACTTCATAAAAAATAAAAAAAACCATGGATGCCTTTCCCACCACCTGTACTACCTCCCTGCACCACCACCTCCGACCGCTGAAAAAATGCCATTTTTCCTAAAAACTGTCATTTCCCCCCTGAAAAATGCCAAAAAAGGCATATATCTCTTTGAAAATGCCAACAATTTCATTGTTTTCTGCCATAAAAATGACATTTGTAATGAATTTGGCATTTTTTCCTGATGACTCGAGGTGGTGGTGCTAAGGCGGCAGAGCGGCGGTGATTAATTTTTAAAAAAATAAATAAATTATTATTATCGAAATATTTTCATTAAATTTTTAGTATTTTTACGAATTTTTATTACTTTTTATTATTTTATTATGAATTAAAACATTTCAATAGCTATAAGGGTATATTTGTCGAAGACACACATAATTAGTCATATGAAAACATAGTTTATTTGTTTGTCCTATTTGTGCAAAGTGAGTGAGTTTTAGTCCTATTTTGATAATTACCTCTTCTCATGAGAGATTTGAATGCTTAAATTTTAATCAGTTGAGAGGTATACCTGTAAGTCTTCCGGTTCAAGGACCTGATTGTAAAATGGCTAATAGTATGAGGGTTAATTTAGCTGTTTTCTCTTAAACTTATCTAGTATCAGAGTTAATGTCATTCGACCACTTAACTTCCACTAGTCGTCCTAGTCATTTTAATTACACGTTGAACTTATCAACGTACGCACAACTTTGATCATTAATATATTTAATTCTCTAGTTGAAAAAACTTCAGAAAAATCATATTTGAAAAATCTAATAAAAATAGTCAAAGTAGAGCACATGAATAATGTGAATTTTTTATTTTTGCAATTATTTAAGAAGGAGGTAATATCACATATGTTTTATATATGAATCCACTTAAACTTGATCTTATAACGGCTAAACTCGTGTCTATATAATTTTAGATTTAGAAATTCCACATCTTATTATCTATTTCTCAAAACAACATGCAAATAATTTATACGGAGTATGTTCTTAAGGAAAACATTAAACTAAACTAAGCTATATTAGCTCTTTCCTCGCTCACTAATTAAACATTAAAACTTGAATTAATATTATTTAAAAGTATAAAATCAATTTTTAAAATTTAAAATGAAGGGGACAAACACTCGTATATATATCGGATAATTAAAAATGGATGAATAATTTGTAAGTATTATACTCCGTATATACATATTGGTTTTTAGTTTTTAATACAAGGGCGGTTGCCCCTGCCCTAAATTGAGAGAGAGATTGTGTAAGGTGTTTCTGTGTTAGGGTCCCCTTTAACCTCGTACCACGTGCATGATGAATAGGACAATAACTACAAACTATTCTCCAAATAAATGAAATTCGGAGCACGTAGTTTCCTTGCTCTCCACCGAGAATCTTTACGTTAGTACGGGTGTTTGATATGCTTTCTATTTCTTAATACTATTTCTATTCCAAGAACAAGTGTTTGGGTGAAGGTGGATAAGTATTTCTCAAAACTATTTCTATTCCAAGAAGAAGTGTTTGGCTGAAGGTGAATAAGTACTTCTTAGTGCTTCAAAATCCAAATTACTCTTAAAAGCAGTTTTTTAGAAGCTGGAGAAACCAGTTTTCTGAAAAATTGGTTCTGATTCTGCTTCTACTTCTGCTTTTAGAAAAGAATCAGAATCAGAAGCAGAACCAGAATCAGTTTCAAACACCTCCTAAAACATTGACAGAATTGTTGTAATATTTTTTTATACAATTGAAATACGTACGAGTGAAAATTACTTTTCCAATTGTATTTGTAATTGATAGTAGCATAACTTTAGTTTTTTCTTCATTATTCAATAGTTCATAATAAAAATACATTTTATACTACCTCCGTCCCAATTTGATAGTCTCATTTCCTATTCACTTGATCAACTTAGATTAATCTTAATCTTTTACTTTTTTTTGGAAGAAGTAGGCTTAAATTGATATATCGAAACATTCAGATGTGGGATAAAATGACAAAAAGACTATTGGCAACCGCCGACCCTTGAACCGGACTTAGAGTTAATCATCTCCAAGGAAGCAATATAACTCGTGAATCCTTAATTGAGCGCAAATGAGTCAAAGACGGTTAAAGCAGACCTCTCATCACTCAAATCCAAACTCACAGTCTTACAGCAATGGAAAAACAAAACTAAAAGCAAACAGTATGATCAAAGAAATTAAAAAGCAACAAAGCTATAAAGTAAAAATCTTGCTTCGTCTTCCATAGCACCACCACCGTCCACGTTCCCGACCCTCATATCTGTTTGTTGAGGTTTATTCCCTTCAACCCGTAGACCCAACACACAACCTAAGGGCTTCGAGTGGGTATTTTAAAAGAGTAAGATCAAACAAGTAAGATGAGACCCAATAAGAAGTCTCAATATAATTTTATGGCGTGAGGTCATTCGTCTCACTGCTATGTTACGAGCTGCTATGAATGTTATAAGACTAGAGTGCTAAGTTACGATCCGTTACAATGAAATAAATGCTCCCTTTTATACCGCCAATGGGTGGCTAGATGCATTGAACCCAGTTGTGGATGATTTGATCCCAACTACCAAATATTATGTATTAAATGTGTGACCCCCAGGATCTAGGCTTCACACCAAGGGGTGGACACGTTCGTCCCCATGGGCTTGCATAGCTTGATCCCGACCATCATATCTTCTGCATTAAATGCGCAACCACCAAATATCCTGTATTAAATGCAGAATCCCGTCAGGATCTTGGCTGTCCGCCAAGGGGTGGGGACGGTTGTCCCCATGAGCTTGCCTCTGGTTTCCTGTTGGACCCGAAGTCCTGCGAGACGTGCGTCTCGT